CCTCCCCCCCCCCCCCTCTTATCTTGTAAATATTGTATATTACTTTCTCAAAATCAATTCTACAGAATAGGACTCAATTGTATATGTTACGTACGTGGTCATGGTCTATTGGGGCTAGCTGAGACCTTCAATTAATTAATAAAGCAATACTGTGTATGGGTATGGCTATATATTGCAGGGTCTTAAACTTCAGTGCAAATATGAATCATATGGCAATATAGTTGTTTTCGCTATTATAAGGTTGGGATTGAGCTAGGCTGTGTTGCTTAAAAACAGCTTAACTTTGAGGTTCAATAATCTGGTAAGTAGTTTTCAAGATATAGAAGGTTTGGATAAAAATGTTCTTGTGGTTTCATTTAAATGCAACTCAAAAGTGAAGTGGTTTTACCAAATAGTTAAGACATGGAAAGATTCTAAAAATAAAAAAATAAAAAAATTACTCTCCATCACCTTGCCTATTCCTCACTCTAGAGGGTACACAAAAAGAAAACAGAAAAACACTTCAACAGTCTAACTACTGCAGTACTACATACAATAATATTCGGCCCAAGAGAATATATATGTATGTGTGGATAGAAATTACATATATGAAATCTAAATAAAGCAATTAGTATCTAGCTCGTCTGATTGAGGGTGTGTTCTTATAAATCTTTTGTACTAAGGGAAAAAAAATTGTTTAATTAAAAATTAAAAAACTAAAATCACACTATTACAATCTTTTAAGAATTAAAAGTTCAAAATTATATAATTATAATATTTGAAAGATCAATTAAGTCTATTTTAAATAAATTATTAATAAAAAATTATATTATAATATAAATTATTTATCATAAATTTAAAATATAATTTATATATCTAAAAATATTTATTTATATAAATTTTAAATATAATTTATATATTCAAATATAATATTTATTTATATATAGTTTATTATAAATTTTAATTATATATAATAAGTATTTATTTATTTCAATTATTCATGTATCCATTTTTCCCATAAAAGCAGTGATGTGAAAAAAGAAGAAAAAAAATTGGTGCGAAAAATAAATAAATAAGTCTTTAATAAATGAATAAACGACAACAAATAAATTGAGCTTAGAATTCCTTTTCCTTTGTTGAGTTGTCTTCTCCCTTGTCCCTCTTTGTTGCACTCTTCGGTCTTCACTGAGTTTATTGATTCACTCACAATTTTCGTCTTCCATTTTCTCCCATTTCGAAAAGATACTGATCGGTTCGGTGAATTACTGATTGGTAGTTTCCTCAAATTGCGGATTTCATTTTTTTTTTTTTACATTTTCCTTTCTCATTTCATTGATTCCTCAATTTTCATCAACTCAATAGCTTTACTTCTCACCCACCATTTCAGCGATGCCACTTCCGAGGTTCAATCATTATCTATTGGGAAAAGTTTTAGCTTCCCATTTCCATTCTAACAATTTCTCTTGTATCGCTTTCAGTCTTTATTCTGCAACAAATTGTGTTTCTTCTGTTTTGTATTCAACTACTAATCTTAGAGATCAAAGTGAGGGTAACTGCAACAAATTTGGGAGTTTCAATGATGGTTTGGGGAAAGCGGGTTCTGGTTTTCAAAAAGACTTAAGTTTTAGTGCTAGTGTTAGTGATGAGGCAGAAGAAGAGGAGTGCGAAGAAGGAGAGGGGTCTAGTGATGATGAGAGTCTTGAGTTCATTAGTTCCTATCATGGAAACCACAAGGAGAAAGATAGTATTGCAAGAGTTGAAATTGGTGATAGTGAATTTAGGCACCCTTTGGTCAGGGAGGTTTGTAGATTAATCACATTTAGGTCTGCTTGGAACCCTAATTTTGAAGGACATTTGAGGCACTTATTGAGAAGCCTCAAGCCACCACTTGTTTGCGCCGTTTTGCGCTCTCAGGTTGATGAGCGTGTTGCTTTGAACTTTTTCTATTGGGCCGATAGGCAGTGGCGCTACAGGCATGTCACTGTTGTCTACTACACAATGCTTGATGTCCTTAGCAAGACCAAATTGTGCCAAGGTGCAAGGAGGGTTCTTCGGCTCATGAAGCGCCGCGGAATTCAGTGTTCACCCGAAGCTTTTGGTTATGTGATGGTGTCTTATAGCCGCGCAGGGAAGTTGAGGAATGCATTGCGGGTTTTGACCTTGATGCAGAAAGCTGGGGTTGAACCTAATTTGTCTATATGTAACACCACTATCTATGTTTTGGTGAAGGGAAATAAGTTGGAAAAGGCGCTGAGATTCTTGGAGCGAATGCAGGTGATTGGAATTGAACCCAATGTTGTAACTTACAATTGCTTGATCAAGGGTTACTGTGATTTAAATCGAATTGAGGATGCATTGGAGCTTATTGCAGGAATAGAT